TACTACCTAACTCCACCAAAATCCGACAAGGGTCCATTTTACCTGTCCACTGCCTTTGAAGGTCAAGAATGGCTGAATGCGAGCATGAAATTTCCACACCTTAACGCTCATTCAGAAAAAAACGTCAAAATCTTTTTCCATCAAAACTACGGAAAAAGCAGAAAAGCTGCAGCGTAAAAAACGTGAAGTGATCGTCGTTGTTCTTCAGAATTCAAAGCGGTAAAAAGCAGATCTCAGAGTGAGCCTCAAAGGCAATGCCTGGGCAGTATTTCTTTTTCCATTTTTCACTTTTTCGGAGCCTTTTCGCCATGAACCCATATCTGGACTTTTCAGCGCATGGAAATGGCGAAAATGAGCTTTTTTCTAAGCTTCCCATGTCCGCATTCGGTGGAGACAACGTGTGAGTGGGCGGGACCCGGAACGGGGGAGGCAGGGCGCGAAAGACCACTGGCGTATCTCCACTGAATGCGGACTTGTAAAACCTCGGAAAAAGCTCATTTGTAATACCTTCATGCGCTGAAAAGCCCAGATATGGTTCTTACTGGCGAGAAGGATCCGAAAAACGGAAAACGAAATTCTGCCGATACACTGCCTTTGAATAGCCATGCCAGATAACAATAATTTGTTCTGAAATCATACCTTCTACCTTAAACATTCCATCTTCAGCATCCACTACTGTCAATCCCGCTTTATCATCGGGATCAAGTGCATCGACAGCTCGAATCTGAATATGACCGTGGTTAATAAATTGATGACTTAGTGTAAATAGGACTTGCCCGGTATACTCATCAAGGAAAGGCCAAAATCACTTACACTTTGCGGTCCATCCTTATCCCAGACCTCTACAACAGCATTTAAGACTCGTTTCTGTTCTTTGTTACACACGAGCCGACCAACTGCCCATATACACTCGGAATTCGCTGACACAGCGGCTAAGATGCACAGCAGTGGAAAAATCAACATCTGCTTCAATGACCGATATTATGACTTATTTAATATGGAAGTCTGAGAGAAACAAGACGTTATCACGCACTTCGTCTAACAATCGAGACATACAAGTAGATTTATTACAGGCGTGAAACAAAACGAAATCCAGAACAAGCGTCGCCATCAAAATCAATTCGGAATGATATCACATACAAACAAAAAGAGATAACAGATTCAATAATAAATAATTTAATCTATTTAGGAATATCACCATCAAACAAAAAACCCCTATTTATCAAGAGAGAAGTCGAAAAAA